TATAAAATAAATGCTATGTTTGTCCTTTTCGTACGTTTTAGTGAACTTGAAAAACCGATTGCATCTGCATAATGCAACAAACGAAGTCTAGGCACTAGGCCTCGTCAGCGAGATCAGAATGGGAAGAAGTACACCACTGACTACACCTATCACAATCGGCGCATGCATATGCATTGTCATAAAACACAGAGGTAACAAATAACAGGTGACATTAACAACTACCTTGATGAAAAATTATACATTAATTGAAGAACACTTGGAGGAAGGCACAGAAAATAGAACTCTGCGTTATGAATTGATTTAACATAGCGACAAAATATCATAATTATGGGCCATATAAATCCGATGTATCAACAGCCACCTTGATGTATAATGTATCATTCTTGATGTAAGTTGGAGTTTCCAATACAGACTGAGAGACAAATAGTGGACAATCAGAATCTACATTCATATCATCAGTGGGTTGCTGGAAGCTACTTTTGGTTGGATCAGGTCTGAATGTAGCTGAGAGATTATGTCGACCTGTGGCTTGATCAAGGAGTACCAAGGTGACCTACAAAAAACAACCAATATGTTTAGGAATTTAATGAGAGAAAATCGTGTGAGTAAATGTGTTAATTATAAAGCTATCATAAGGTTTTTCGATGTTGTGTTTAGACAGAGACATGACGTAACTAGACCAATTCGGTTCGAGCCGAAGTTCTCAGTTGAAGACATTTCCATAATTATTAAATGTTATTAATGAATTATTAAATGTCAAAAACGGACATTTATCAAAACTGAACGATGAAATAGAAGCGAATGTATAACATAGCACGAAACAGCCATCAATTTATCTTCACATGACATTAATTAAGTTAATTAAGTGAGGTTTTAAAATTCTTGTTTGGCGGTATTCTCCAATTCTTAACTAATGCACCTCTAAGTGCATGTACACATACTATATACACATACTATGCGTGTTGATTTCCCGCAATATAAATACATATATATTTACAACGCATAAATTAAAATATCAGTGAGTATTTATATTGCTTCAGTTACTGCTGTAACTTTCATGAAGGGACAAATTGTACTAACCTTTTGTCTGAATGGCCACTGTAACAGGGAATCATAATCACCTTTCATGACGAACAAAGAATAATGACATATGAGTACCTTTACCCATACCATCACCATTTAAATACACCCTGGCACACATCTTATAGCCATATTTACTGGTATAGAATGGTTGACTGTAAAATGATAACGTCCTTTCATTTAGCGCTTCACGTTTACGTTTTGCGAAATCTTTGATCTTCCATATCAGAATCCCATCATAACAAGTTGTCTCTAACACTTGTAAACGTAGATCCTGTTCTGCAAGTCTTACATCATGTATTCCAAGCTGTGTATCTACTTTTGCAAGCTGTTTACGTAATACAGAATATCAAATAATTATATAACAATTTGCGAATCTTGAGGAATTTGTCTTAATTATAGTCTTGCCACGTATTGCGGACGTTGAGCTCATCATATTTAAAACACACTGTTTGTCACATATAGCAATTTTGATCGAAATATTTCACAGGAAAAATACAAACAGGTCATATAACTGATTGATCATGACTACATTTATTACAATAAGAGAGCAATCACGATAGGCGCGACAAGCGAGCAAGGTATGTTTATTGATCTGGACACCTGGTACGACATGTGAGACATCAATGGCTCATAATGACTAGTTCTCTTTTTTAAAAGTGATCTTTGTCTCGTGGACTAAGCAATGACAGTGGCGGCGGCACCCCCAATCAAACTGAAACCCTTTGTGTCAGCACAATTTGTCCCTCAAAATGCAGGAAATATCGTTTCAGAGGGTCTAGATTTCAGATGTCCCCCTCTCATGCAAATTTTTACTGCCTCCGCCTCTGAACTAAATTTGATTTGTATGGCATCGAACGCCAGTCCTGTTATGACAATCATCATAATTAAACAGTGAATGTGAAAATGTCGTGATGCTTTAATGTAATATAATTATTATTTTTACCTTCATTCTTGGGATATCTTTGATATGTTGGCTTGGTAACCTTCCGTGAATTTGTTTTAATAAATGTGATAATACTTATATCTATCTTGTCTTTTGAAAACTGTTCTTCACAATATTTACACTTACCGTACTATAGAGGCACTGTGATGCTAAATGTTCCGCTAAAAACCTTCTTTCAACTTGAAAAGTACATCCCATCTTTTTATGAATACAGTAAATAACAGTAAAGTCGCATTCGTGAAGATGGTTTTGTAAACTTTTGAGTTTTACTTTCTTATTGCAACCTTTGTTTCGAAATTCACAAAAAACTGGTAGTAACATAATATCCCGTCTTGCTACATGATCTTTGACTATTTCCTCATGGTCTATACGTTCCTTACAGTCTTCAACTTGACAAACAGGATTGTCTGATTGGCTGTGTATGAAATGAGACTAAGAATTATCAAAATTCTATGTACCAACAAATATCTTTAATTATATATAAGTTATAATATATTCATAAAATGAATTTGTAATTTTGGTCTTAAATCCGTTTTACAGACTTGAAAATTGTTGTTGTTCATACTCACCTAAGTAATTTTTCACAGCATTTATTACAATATCGGTGACCGCACTCTAGTTGCCTGGGTGATCGTAACACTTTCTGACATTCATGACATATATAATTTGTAGGGCTCGTGACAAATATGTTCGGATCATATCCCTCCTCATCACCTATGGACCCAGGCGGAGTAATTTGTACAGACTGCAGAGAGGCTTCCTGTGATAAACTGGCGAAAGCCATGTATCCACGATCTTTCTTTTGGACTTATTTTCAAACAACAGCAATATATTAATAAAATTACTGGCATGAACACAACCTGGCTAGAAAAAAGACAAAAACATTTTTAAAAATCGTTATTTCATTCATTTTTGTCATTGCAAAGGTAAAACAATAAAAGTAGCACATTGTTCAAGTAAATGACATGCACGATTGAGCTTAACTAGCCACCGTATTGTTAATGAATAAATTAAGTGTTACGTGTAAATGATTTCATTATCGTCGTACATCGCGCCCTCTCGTGGCGACAATCACCTACTGACCTGTCTTGGTTTTAGACAGACACTATTGACACATCAGGTGTATGTCAACACTTTATCGGTTAAGATCAATGATAAATCAACTTTGCACTGTATTGTGCAAGTTCAAGTATATGTGACTAGATGTACGGCTGCAACTAAAATATGCCATGAATAAATTGAACTTCATTATATTTCACAAATATTTGAATTATTTCTGTAATATTACCATTCAAAATTACTATCTCTTTAACATTAGGGCTTTCCAATACCAGATTCTTCATAGATACATTAATTTTGAATGCAATCAAGCTCTTGCAGTGGGAATGCAGTCTACAAAAACTTCTTGATTGAAGTAAAACAACATTGGTGCCTAATTTGAACTGGTGAAATACTAAGTATACTTGTTCAGTCAGAAGACTATCAAATACTGTCACATTCATCATCAAATTTATACCATTTACAATTAATCTGAAGCTTTGATACAAGCATAGTAATAAGATGGTATTCATTGATGAACTGTTTAGAGTTCAAATATTGTTTATAAGTTTACCACTCACATATTTTGACATATTTAAAGTACACGGGAAAAATAACTGAAAAAATTGTGGCAATAATTGAATTGTTTCTTTCTTTACAATATCACGAATAAGATCGACACAAGAACAACTATGGACTCACAGCACGCTATTTACACGTGTGTTGATTATTTATCCTGAACATTTTAACTTATGGTTAATCTACATTACATACCTGAATTAACAACGTCACACTACAGTATACAGTGCTGTAGTGTTGGTCTCGATGGCAGTGATGTGTTCAGTGTTAGTGACGAAGTTCTGATGCATTTATATATATACGCGATACACGGTAGGGAATTCCCCGCTATGACGTTTTTTTTTCAATTTAGATCGTCATTGGGTATTTCCAATTAACCAACACGTGACCAGCATTTATTTGATAACCCACCAACCACAATCAAGACACAGGTACTGCTATTTACCACGTCCTCATTTGCCATACCAGGCTAGAATCAGTCCATTGAATGACCTCATAACGATCGAGAATAATCGATATTACAAATCACGTAACACACCCTTTACCTTCTAGCCTGGTACGGCACGTGAGGTCGATCTCGTGGTTCACACCTGTACATGACTCATTGTGCTCAACACTCGGCTTTCATCGTTCAGTCATCATTTCATTCATGATTTTAAGGTCACCAATTACGTGAAAATATAATCACAATTGACAAAGTGTATAACATTTTATTTGTTGTGAGTGAACATATGCATGTATTTTACCAGTTGCAGGAAGTACTGCCATGAATTAGTTTTCGTGTATCTCTTGACCGACTTGGTTAGTTGATTACTCGAGTGGCTGTGCTATTTCTGTCATTGTTTAGACCCCAGCGGCGCCTTCGTTGGAATTGAAATCATTGATGAGGAACTTTTTTCTTTTTTACTGAAACTCCCCTATCGATCGAAACCCGGGTCTAAGGAGAACGGCACACCACGTGATACGTTCGAATAAAATGGTGAAGTCAAACATGCCATGCTACTGTGGTTCTCCATTGACGGGATTACTTACGTCGTCAGCAGTCGTCGCTGAGCTGCACGCTACAACTTCGCTTGTGATGTTGCTTGTTAGCCGTGGAATAAATGAATCTTGATTACCGGTTAAAATGTTGCTCATTTGACTGGTAATCTTTATTTGTGACTGGGTAATGTCGCAACGTCGCCAGCAGAAACCACCTGATATTTTGATTTTGATGGTTGCGCCTTCACTCAGTCAACATACATCAAGTTCTCTCAATCGTAGTATTCCACCCACCCCACCCCCGTTCATAGGGACTGCGTACAGTTGATTATAGTTCCTGGGCCCCCTGTGGTTAAATTTATTATTTTTTGCGATAATATTTTTCTAGATTGGAGGCAGCATTTACAGTTCATTCACAGTTCAAAGTTGCGTTGGGATTACGTTGATACAGTGTAACAATGTCAGCGTAGGTGATCTCTTACTGGTGTGCAACGTAGCCAAATAAAAGGCATGATTACGCAAATTAATAAATTTGGGTTTTTGGCTCTTGCCATTGTAGATGTGGACCAGGATTGCTTTTCCAATAAGTGACGCTATGACCTGCCCATCAAGTATGAAC